AAGTTATAATTATACATTAATTTTATTTATTTATTTTCCCCCTCAGCCAGTGTCTCCGTACAAAAAAAAAAACCCCTGAACGCTAATTAAAAAAAATAACTATATATTGCAGAAAAAAAATTCCAATCTTATAAAGGTCCAGTGGTCAGCGTGTATGCAGATATTAATTTTCTATTTTCAAAATAATGAAAATACAGGTTTTCCTTATTTAAAAGTTCACAGTTAAAATGGCCGCCACACACAGATTATTCTGGAATCACGTGTCGTCCAAAAAGCAAAGCCGTGTTACCATTAACAATGAATACCTGCCGTCACGCTAACAGCGATTCTTCCCCGGGTCAGTCTGTTGTTTTAATCCCCCCCCCCCCCCCCCGTCTTTTCATCATCATTTGAGTCACACACGGTGACAACGGAGCGAGTCAACACCAAACAGTTGTGAGAAGGTCATATCAATAATGAATGAGTCCATAATAAGGCCAGAGTCCTCCTGAAGTTCCACAGCTGCTTTCTGTCACCGTCGGGCCGGTGCTGCCCGCCTGTCAATCACCACCTAACGAGAGCGCCGCGTCTCATTAAGGTTTCCTCCAACCACGTCCAAACACCAGGCGGACGCCGCACACGTGTTCAACTCATGCTCTACCAGTTGATTGCAATGAACCGCTGACATCTGTCTGACGGAGGAGCGAACAACAGATGCACAGAGATTTCACCACTCCAATCAGATCGTCTGGCTCCGCCTCTCCTCTACAACCAATCATCTCTTCTCACCCGTCTCAACTTTTATCTCCCTCTTTCTAATACTCGCCAGTCGGGTGCTGTACTCCATCTATTCCCTAGGGGCAGTAGGGAGTCATTTGAGACATGCATGAATCTCAGCTTTTTTTTTAAAAACCCATCTGCCTTTTGGACCACACATCTTTCTCATTATATTTTCAAATGCCTCATACACCAGCCTCAAGTACTTCTCTGCCACTCCTGACATGTATCTTCAGAGTTCTTCCCTTGACACTGCGTTAAAAAACCAAATCCTAATCACTTTCAGATAATCCTTCATCGGAGGTCACCACACCAGACCAGACCCCCCCACTTGATGCAGTTGCCCCCCCCCCCCCACTCTAAGACCCTAATTCAGTGTAGTTTCGTGTTCTTGTAACTATTATCATCGTAATCCTGTTTCGGTACTACATCTACTGATGTTGCCGTTTCAATGTGTACTTTCAAAGTAATCATCGTAATCCTGTTTCGGTACTACAACTACCGGTGTTGCCGTTACTGGTACTGTAAAGTACAGGTACTTTACAGGTACTGTACTTGGTGGCCCCTCCCTGACCCACCTGTTCCCGGTTCACACTCCATCAGGTCCTCATCGTCGCTCGGACACTCGGCCGATGCCACCAAGATATCGTCGGAGTTCTGAGGCTGGAAGACAAAAAAAAGAAAGTGTGAAAAAAACGAGATGAGTTTTCACTTCTTTTTTCCCAGACTCCTCTCTGGCAGCACCTCCTCAGTTCTTCCTCCTCGGGGGCCTTGGAGTGTGTGTCTGGTTTTATTGCCAACAACTCGCGTGTTCGCAAACAAGGTAAGAACACCAATGAGGGATAAACGTCTCCCCCTGCTGACCGTTCCATACGGGTTTGTTTCATCCATTTACATGTAAATGTGCAGAGACAGAATCCTCTCCACAGACGGGCGTCAACATGTTTGGATTGGATTTCAGCTGCAGAGCCATGTGGAATATCAGAGCCGAGCAGGGAATAGTCGCCGCACTAATGTATTATGGAGTTAAATAGAAAATGGAGAAGAGGCAGCGAGGACGACAGGACGGGAATGGAAATCCACTGAAGAAAAGTCAGAGTCAAAAGTTACAGAATCCAACTTATTCAAGGTAAAAGGTCAAAGAGGTCAACGCAGGAAAATCGTCTATATTCATTTATAACTTTATAATTTTGTCCTTTCATCTGCTGTGACCAGACCTTTTCAACTTTTCACTTTCAAAACACATTTTGTACTCAAATAAAGAAATGAAATATTTTATTATTGGTTGAGAAGCAAATGGGAAACTTTTTTTTTTTTCCCTTTGAAAACAGTTACGTAACATATTTTTTTAATAACTTTGCAAGAAAAACATAGTCATTAGGAACTCATCCTTTTACCAAATTAAAAAAAAAACAAAAAACCACATTACACTTCCCTCTGTGGATTATCTACAGTTCATCCTGTTGTTTTTGAAAATGAACGACTGTAAAAACATTTATTTTTTAGATTTGATTTGAAAAGTCAGAATTTTAGAAAAAAAGATTAAAAAAAAAAACCCACTGAGGATTCAGGCTTAAACTAGTCAAGAATTAAAAAAAAAAACAAAACACTGAGGATTCAGGTTTAAACTAGTCAGGATTATCAGGAAGTTTGATGGAGTTTATTCACCAAATTTATTTTGAATAAATGATGGGATTTTATAGATATAAGAGTGAAATTATTTATATGAATTTTAAGTAAAAACTCCACCCCCCTCTTTCCTCCCCCCTCCAGCGCTACTCTCTGACCTTTGAGATGCTCTCCCTCAGGCTGGGCGAGCGCTGCCTGCGGGTGGTGGTGGTGGCCATGGTGGTGGTGGTCTCCATGATGGTGGTGGACATGTCGGACACGGTCAGTGGGTTGGCGGAGGTGGCGTCCGTGGGCAGCACGGACGTGGAGTCCCCGACCAGACGAAGGTTGCCCTCCACCTGGATGCTGGGGTCGCTCTCCGCCGCCAGCTTCAGCACCTGGAGACCGTTGTAGTACAGCCCCGAGATCTGACCCTGGAAGGGCCGCCCCTTGTCGTTCCCGCCAATTTTAATGGCTGCCTGGCTGTTAAAGATGGTCAACTGTCTCCCTGAGGTCGGACAGAGGCAGAGAGAGGAGAAGGTGGAACAGGAGGGAGTCACATGACTCATCACTACAACCCTGTGGCCTTAAGCAATTACAACAGCAGCAGTAAGAGAATCAAAGGTTGACTGTGATACTAACTGGTAATGAGCTGCGGTTTATAACTGACACTGGATTCATGCAGGTTAAAGTCATCAGAGAAGGTTTGACTTCAGTTTAGGAGACGATTTAAATCCTTATTAGTTCTGACACAGTTTAGGTGTTTACACTCATTTAGAACATTAGGTTTTCTTTTTTCTTTTTTTTTTTAAATTCTGAAATGGAAACATGGATGAACGTCCTCCTCCTCTCACCGTCTTCACCAGAGATGAAGGCCCTGCTGACACCACGACGATACGACTACTGTACGATATGATTACGCTACGATACGACTATGGTACGATATGATATGATACGACTACAATACAGTATGATATAAAACGATACGACTACGGTAGCCTTCGTTTACACGGATCTGGAGCAAACTAAATCTGTGTCTAAACAGAGACGTAGAAAATGCCTGCGGTCCCTGCAGTACATATGCCAGGCCTGTATGTGGCACTATGTCGGACACATTTTAACTGTACTAGTCATGTTGTAATGTAGGAATAACCGTTTACAGGTATGAGGCGGGGAGTAAGGAGGCGTGGTGAGTGAGCTAGGATCAAAACATTATAAGTTCTGTAAAAAACGAAATTTAAAAGGATCGAGGCATCGGCGTGAGCTGTCAACTGTAGCAGTCGAATTAGCTTCTCTAGCGCGGTCAAATTGTTGTTACTGTGTGGCGTCGAGCGAAAACACTGGGAGGCGGGGCTGACCGTATCGTCTGGTTCTGCTGCGTTCACCGTCGTTTTTCAAACCTCTCCACTCTGGGACTCGTACACGGAAAAACAACACAGTTCTCTGCCCCAAACACTCCGTCTTCGTCTTAACTGAATCGGCGCTACTGCCCCAGGAACCAGAGTTTTATCATCGCTGTGTAAACAGGGCCTAAAACACGCCCCTCCTCTGCCCCCCCCAGGGTCCCATTGTTACACCTGTTTACAGGGGCCGTGGTATCTAACAGCACTATTGTCAGCAGCATCCCTGATAAGCAGCGGTGTGTTGGAGGAGGAGGAGGAGGGGGGGGGCAGTAATGGGGCTGTTTGGGGAGAATACTTATTAGCAGAGTTAATGGATGCACACAGTGATCCACTTTAACAGACTGTCAGGGCTGCTTTGTAGGAGCACAGACCTAAAGCACGGGAGTCTGACGTGGTCGCTGTAGGACAAGATAAGGTTCCAGGAGTGGAGGGAGAGGGAGGAAGAGGAGGAGGAGGAGGAGGGGGGTTCTCCCAATGACTTGGTAGACAGCGTTAAAGACCTAAAATGTTCAGTTTAGGGGCCGGAGTTCAAACCTGTTTTTACAAACCCCATTTCCGTGGACAAAATTTCACTGTCTTCTGATTGGCTGTTTTTTCGGTTTTCATTTGGATTAATAACACAAATAAAAACAGGTGAGAAACGCTGACCTCTACCTGCTGACGTTTGTATTTCTGTTTCAGCAAAGATTTATTATATTTAGGAATTTTGTTTGAATTTCAACTTTGCGATTAATCGTGATTAATCTACAGCTAACCTTTGAAGAATCGTATTCAAATGTTTTCATTAATTAATGAACTCGTTTATGTTTCTGCCTCGTCTTTTTACCAGAACCACAGATTTTTACTTTTACTTTTTGAGCCAATGGAAAGAGGTTTTGTAAATTTTTGGTATAACTATTATTATTATTATTTTTTTTTACGTATGACATTGTTACAGTACCTAATTACACACAACATCGAACTACACACAGAGGTTAGGGGGCGATGGAGAGTTAGAAAAAAGTTACGTGCTTTTAGTTTAGTCGGTTTAAAGACCTGGTTAAAGGTGCAGCGTCTCCACAAGGATGACAACAAATAGATAAGGGGGTGACGACATCGTCGCCCCCTGCTGGGACACTTTAAACTCCACTGTAAATCACATTTGTGTGGAGTTGAAATTTTCTTTTTGGAAACGCCAGTTGAAATGAAGGTCTGGAGAATTAACTGTGGACCCTGGTCCGTGTCACCCTTGTCCTGCAGCACTGCACCTCTCGTGTGTGTGTGTGTGTGTGAGGAAGGGGGAGGAGGGGGGTGAGTTATTTCAAGAATTAATTAATTAATCATTTAATTTTTTTTTTTTACCTTTATCGAGTAGCCACTCGTCAACTACCCGACCAAGTCTGTATGGGATTCTTTGCCTAGCAATAGCCAGTCGTTCATTATCATAGTGTCCTTCAAAGAGTTTGGAGAGACAGGTTAAAGTTAAAGTCGGCAGCTGAAAGATCACATGGTTAGAAACAGAGTTAGAACGGCTTTAACAGTTTAACAAGTTGTCAGTTTTAACCCAGCTGTGAGTTAAAAGAAACTTGTGCTCTACGTAGCCTTACCTAGTTATGACTGCTATTAACTGGTTAGCTAGTTAGCGAAGCGTTTAGGCTATTTATAAATGCTACACTATTTAGTCTTATTTAACTATTTAATGCATGTTATGCAGTGGTTATCAATTACAGTTAAAACAGGAAATTATTTCATACATTTGAATTAAACAAATTTAAGACGATTATGATTTTTTTTTTTTTACATTTAGACAAAATTATAACGACCTTCACAGCAGTGACATCATCAGAGACAAACAGCAGGAAAAAAACATTTGATTTGTTGTTGTTCCACAATGTAATAAAAAGGTTAAATATTTATATTTATATTAGAGTTCAATATTTGAAATAATGTTCTGGAGTCAAAGGGATTTTTGGAGTTTTTTTTTTTTTTGAAAGGTCCAGTTGTGACTGAGGCGTGGTGGGTCGGACAGTTACACGGGAAAATTAGTTTCTACTAAACTACATTGTGGAACAAGCGTCAAATAATTCATATACGACAAAAGGCTGATCTGGAGTGGAACAAGATGTCGACTCATTATTTATCCATGCAAACACAGAGGAATAATTCATCAAACACAGCAAGAGTTCTCAGCCTCTGGAGGATTGCAGTCCGTGTTCTAACAGCGTTCTAAAAACCCCCTGATTGGATCTTCTGCGCACTGATAAGAGTTCAATCCCTTCAATCAATCTCCATCTACAAGCTGTGGGCAGAAAATCCCACCAGGACCGCCGATGTGTGAGAGGAAGGATTAGAAGAAGGCAGCGAGCTTTATATAGGAATAAAAATCCAATCACATCATCTTTTCTGAGAAACAGTGTCGGAGACTGGAGGGAAGCAGCTGTGTGTGTGTGAAATCATTTAACAAACGCTTTGTGTAATGACCAAACATCCAGACAGGAAATCTGCTGCCGACTTTTTTTTCTTTTTTTCCCCCTTAAACAACTACTGGGAGACTAACGTTTGACGGACGTGCAATCCTCTCTCACCGATCCATCTGCTGAGCTGCCGTCTGTTCTCGGCTAATGGTTCCATTAGTCTCACCTGGTGGGTAACGTTCAATGACCGGATGGTTGTCCACCTGGAGGGTGGCGTTGCCGCCACTGCGTGTGAAGCGCACCACGTGGTACTTGCCGTCATTGACCACCAGGGCGGGCTCGTCGATGGTGATGTCATCGGTGCCCACGTTGAAGATGACGCTGATTTTTCCTTGATCCTGTGGAAAGAGAAGACAAAGAGTTTTTATGTCGCTGTAAACATTACAGTGGACTTTTACAGCTGACCTCTGACCTCTGGGTTTGACCTTTCGTCACGGTAACGCTGGGGCCAGCTGTAAACATTACAGTGGACTTTTACATCTGACCTCTGGGTTTGAACTTTCGTCACGGTAACGCTGGGGCTGAGAAACAAACACATTTTCACACTTTCTAAAAATTTCAAATCAGTGCCATTTCCTCTGTGTAGCAAGAAAAAAAAACCTTCCTCATATGTCCTGCAGTCGCACCCTGCCCCACACTTTGAAAACCACATTTTCAGAAAGTGCATAAATCCCCAACAAGAAGTTATCTGTTGACAAAGTGTTTAGATTCCGTCCTTTATTTTGAACAACTTCCTCTTCACGTCTAAAATAATGTAACTTTAGCCTAGCAGCCCCCTTGTGGGGCAACAAGGTAATGCACCACCTGGTGGTACATTGCTGTTTGTGATCTTTGCAACATACGTCTGACATATTTGCACCGGTTCATCTAAGCTCACTGCGTGGTGTCCAGTGTTCACCGAAGGCCGCGCCCCACTCCGGGTATCAACCTGTGGGAGTGACAGCGGCGCCGCAGCAGACGCCTGGTCACAGCAGCGGAGGTCATGTGATCTGACACCGACGGTACGTTCCCGTCCATCCTGGCTCCAGCTCCTCCGGCTGAGGTTCCTCGACGTAGATCTGACTCGACATCTTCCTCCTGCTCCTCTCCTGCTTGACCGCCTCCTCGGCCCGACAGTCTTCCCGCGCTCCTGCCAACCTCCTCCCCAAAGGTCAAATCTGTTCCAGAGCCCGGCCTTTAGGTGGCACTAATAGAGAACAGCGACTACAAGCTGTGGCTGTCTGGCCTCGGCTGCCTTCAGTCGGTGCCAATATGGTCGGAGGAGAGGTTTGAGAGAAACAGCTTACCTCACCGCAGGAGTTCAGAGAGGAGCACAAGGCTACGCTGCGAGGAGCGCCGACCTTTGTCACCGTGATGAATATACATAAATAAAACCCTCACAGAGAGGAGAGTCTCCGAGTCTCCAGGCTGAGGCGCTGTCAACAGCAGAAAATCAAACGTCCAACGCTCAAATATGGATGAAAGGGAATTTGTAGCAGAGTACCACCAGTGGTACAGCCAAGGTCAGAACAAGGTCAACAAAAATGAACCTGTATGTCTTTATATGTGAGTGTATTTAACATATATTTACTGTTTTCTTAGGCTAGAAAATTTTGTGATAAATTTTTTTTGTGATATAAAATGCTTATTTTATCACAAAGTTTGAGAGTTTAAAGTTCAGCAGAGATTAATGTGAACAGTTAGCAATAAATGCTAATGGTTAGCAACAACAAGCTTAAAAGATTGTATTAAAAACATGATCAAAGATAATGTCTAAAACAAGAGCATAAAACCTAAAGTAATTGAGAAAAAAACGAAAAACCTTATAGTCAGACGGGACATTGCTTATAGTTAGCATACCATGCTAAATAAAACAAAAAAACATCTATCACGTGATTGGTGGACTGGTTATGAGGTGAATGTGGTGACAGCGGTGATGGATTGGAGTGATTTCTGTCTGGAGAACTGATGTGGACAAGGCTGAGTGAGATGTCTGAGCTCAGCTCTGACTCCGAGTGTGAACTACACTATTGATCCACACAGGCGCCGCATAAAAGCAGCTACGGGGGCAGAGTGGACAGCTGAGGTAGCCTGCTGTATACTTCTATAGAAGAAATGGAACCTTTCCACAGCGGCTGACCACCTGAGGTCTAGAACGGTCTAGAAGTTAGTCTAGTTCAAGTTAATAGTTAACAAAACAAGTATCAGTTGACAGAAAAACTGGTTTTCAGTCGTGTTTATGATTGTGTCCAATCATCCAGATCCTGATCCAAAATCTGATCCTAGTCTTGATCCAGACCCTGACCCTGACCCAGACCCTGACCCTCCTGAAGCCAGTCTGCTGAAGTCTCCAGACTGATCAGTGTCGTTGAAGCTGAAGTTCTTCTCAACATCACAGCCGTGTCTTCAGAGCAGCTGAAAATGTTGGGGACATTATTTTTTTTTCTCCCTGGTTTCAGCAGAAAGCCTTTCTGTTTTTCCTCCGCTCGCTGTGAGCACAATTACCCAGACAGCCTCAAAGTGCCTTTTGACAGGCGGCACCGCGGCGGCACCACGGTTTTAGTAAACAAAATTTTAGCCTTTCAAGTTCACTTTGGCTACTTAA